CCCGTTTTTGGAGAGTTTCCGAGGGACTTTGCCAAGGAGCTTTGAGCTCAGATCGCCTCGACCCGACTGCAGGGCACTGCACGCGATGTCTGACAGTCGCCCAAAGGCAAGCCTTTCTTCACAAAGCAGTCTATAATAGGGCTACTAGTAAGGGCCTTATATATCAATCCAAATATTTTGCTCTTCTTTGTCGCTTCTTCCTCCATCAAAGCCCCAGGCATACCAAGGGCGTTTTCGCAGTCACCAATGGCAAGTCCACCACGGTCTTCAGCATCGGGTCCAAAGGCTCGGGGAAGCGACCACGCGCAAGCCGTGTTGGGGCTTCAGGGCGAAATGTAGGGGGTTTAGGGTTCATGATTCTGGTTTAGAGTCGTAGCTATTCATTGTATGCAGCTTTAGGAAATTATGGTTTAGGGTCTCAGGGTTGAGCTTACGAGCCGGATTTTGAAACAGACGCCCGAGCCAAACTCGGAGCCTGACATGGATTGCCTCTCAAAGTCTTCGGCATGAGCCTCCGCCGTCATGCCCTGATGCAGCCGCATCCTTCGAGTGTTAGTTGCAGGAATCTCTGATTTTGCATCTTGATACCCACAGAAGCTGGCTTGGCCAGGTTTGAAGCAGCTGAAAACATTGGACGGCGCCGCTTGGCAGAAGTCTGTAGGTGGGACCATGTAAGACCCTGTAACAGGAGCTTTGACGAAGGAATAGTCAAACGGGATCCTTCGTGCTTCCCCGTTTTTGACTCAAAGACTCCTGGCACTCACAGGAGACGGTGGTGGGCCCCGTCTTTGGGGTCAAGGACGACGAGACCGGACAGCTCGTGGCATTGGCCATGACCAAACCCGAGGCAAGTTAGGAGAATTCGGTTCTTGGCCAGAACCTCTCGAGCCACTCCGTGGCGTCGGGTTCAGCGAGCGACATGTTGTCAACAAGTGGCCCTTCGTCTCGCCCTTTTCGTCTCTCGTACTTCCCACTTCCCATCATCCAATCTCCGGGCAGGCGACGCAGATTCAGCTCATGGACCCTGCATCCGGCAACGTCCAGCCCGCTGCGGGGGAGCTGAGTGGGCCCAGGAGTCCTGGGTTTGGGGGCTTATATAACATAATATAATATAATATAATATAATATAATATAATAAAAAATATACAATATAATATATACTATAATATAATATAATATAATAATATATATATATAATTTGAAGGGTCATCACAAAGAGAGAACAAGGCAGAGATAGGGCTTCAGTTGACTTACCGAGCGCACAGAGGCCACCGCGAGCTTGCTGAATCTCTGCAGTTGTCATCCCACGAGGATGATTTTCATGGCGACAGGAAGCAGCAGCATGCGAAGGAGGAGGAGGAGGAGGAGCAGGAGCAGCAGGCAGGAGGAGGAGCGATGTACGACATGCAGTGTGTAGTTACTCCATGTCGTTTGTACCCAGGTGGCCCAGGTATCAGTGTCCACAACCAGTGCTCCCAGGTGAACATTGCCGGATTCACTGCGACGGATCATGGCAACAGCCTCTTGCACTCCCGGCACGCTTGAGGGCACTCTGCGGCAGAAAACATTGCCTTGATGCTTGCGAGAACCAGCAAGACACTGTTCGATTTATGCATCCTGGAAAAATCGCACACGTCGTGCCTGTACGTTCCCATGACAAATTGTCCTAGCCACCGCGAAGGCACCGACTCCCAAGGAGCATGGCCACAAGAATCCTTAAGCGTTAAACCCTAAAGCCCTCTAGAGCCGTAGTAGCACCCGACACCCAGAAGCCCGAAACCCTAAGCCTTAACCTCAAAAAGCCCGAAACCCCAAGCCTTAGCCCAAAAAGCCCGAAACCTTAACCCCCCTCTTTAGCTCTAGCTGGAGCACGCTGGTCAATGTAGGGGTCGGACTGATTTGAAATAGAATCCCTTGTGGTTTTGTATAAGTATGCTGTAATGGACCCCAAAACCCTGTTCTAGTGATTGCGATGCCCACAATTACTTCAGGCGACTGATTCAGCTTTCTATCGGGGGCCATGCCTGATTTTTTGCATGAATCCGACACCTTAGCATCTCTAGAGTATTCAATGTAGTTCTGTCTCGTATAGATCCCTTGAAAGATCCCTTACAGGACCTGCACCCCTAAACCCCACAGCCTAAAGCCCTAAAGCCAGAACATCTAAACTCCTAAACCCCACACCCTAAAGCCTTAAAAAAAAACCACAAAATCTAAACTCCCAATCTCTACACCCTAAAGCCCCCACACAAAAAACACACACACACACACACGCACAGACAAAATCTGACCTTCTCAACCCCTGAAAGCCCCCCCAAAAACAAAGCCCTCAAGAGCATTCCAGGCTCCTGGTGCACGAGCTCAGCTCCGGGGTCTCAGCCTCAGCTCTTCGAAGCTGCATAGTGTCATTACTACTACAATTAGGGTTTAGGGGTATATGGGGTAGTAGGGTTTAGGGTATTAGGGGTATTAGGGTTTAGATTTGTTTTGGCTATTATTATGGAAGCCCCCCATGATGATGATGATGATGATGATGACGGTTACTATTATTCTTAGTACACATTATTGTGTTTTATTCCTATTACTATTATTACTTATTATGATAGGTACTGCTGTTATTACTAAATTATCACTTATGAATACTATTACTACTATTCTTATTACTACTTCTTATTGTTCTTACTTATTATGATCATTACTATTATTGTTCTGCTTATTGCTTGTTATTATTATTGTTGCCACTATTATTCTTATTACTTATTATTATTACTATTATTATGGGGACCTCATGGATTGAACTGGGGTTTGGGGTTTAGGGGCCTTCATAATTCAGATGGTGGTCCTTTCTTTGAAGCTTTCTTGAAAGGCTTCTATAGTGATCTAGGGGCCTCCCAAACAAGTGGCAGGGTGCATCCTATCATGGAGGCCTAAGGAACATGCTTTAGTGATTGCGTAGGTCCCTATTAGCTGAACGCTTTCAGGGAGCATGCGGTCTAGGAAGCACGCTGCTAATCTTGTGCGGCACGTTTATGATTCGGCGGCTCCCTGCAGGTAGGATCTCGAACAGACTGTTTTCTTTTCGCAAGATTCCCCGAAGCCCGAAAAGCCCTAAACCCATCTGCAACAGCCCAAGGAGCACTCCCAGCACACTTTTTTAAAGACATCTGAGAGGCCCAAGTAGCAAGCCTAACAACCCTTGACTCAAACAAACCCTAGCCACCAACGCCCAAGGAGCAACCCTAACCAAGCCTTGAACCCTAGCGCCCAAGGAGCACCTGAGTGTGATCTCCACCTCCGACCAGTCCTTGGCCGGAATCCAGTCATCGAAGGTGCGGGCGCTCAAAACAGAAGAGTCTGAATATTTAATCAGAATGGAATAACCATGAACAGCAAGTAAGAAATGCAATCACCAACAAATCCGCATGAATGACCATATCTAATGAAAATTGTGCCTGTCATTTTCTGGTCTCCTCCTTTTTTCTTTTCGCCCCCTCCACCGATCTCTTGTTTTCGATCCTCCTGGTGTCTTGTTGACCCCCTGCTTCCCTAGAAGCCGCAACGTAGCAGCGTTGAGGGAATCGGGCTCGCACTTAGCCCTGCGTTCGCCTTCGTACACTCGTCAGTTTGGGAGAAAAAAAGAGACTCCCATATCCTTAATATCTTAAATCTTATTAGGTTCCTATTATAATTTAAGGTATATTCTTTAATTAATGGATATTGGAGTCTCTGGGAAAAGAGATGGCATCAGAAGCAAGACCTGAAACGGAACCAGTCTGGCCCGACGCGGGGTCTTTGCTCGCAGAGTCGGGAGTACCAGCTGCATGAGGCTGCATGGAGAGCTTCTGATCCGCGGCAGTCATGGTCAGAAGATTGAACCCCAAAAAAACCCCCTAAACCCCACCCTGTTTCCCCAACCACTAAACCTTCAAAGCCCGTTGATAAACCCCAAGCACAGAAATCAGTTCCTTGCAGCCTTTTGCCCCACCCCCCCCCCCCGTTCCCTTGAGATGAACTGGGTCCGGGAAGAAGGCCTCTCCTCCATTCGTCAGGCCAGGCCTTCCGACAATATGGGCAGTTCTCTAAATTAGGGTCCCTGTCTTTTGGGGGGTCTTTTAGAGGGATCTATGAGGAATGTTATTAGGGTTCTATTAAGAATCTACAGTAAGCAGGGCCTGAAGAAGCCTAGGTTTAGGGAACATAGACGTTTAAACACCTACCAACGTTAAGTCATCGGACTCCTCATGTTTAGGGTTTAGGGGTTTAGGGTTTAGGCCGTGTAAAAACAAAAACAAAGACGCTGTTCTAATTATTGAGACCCCGAAAAGATGTAGCAGAATTGGCGCACTCACTCCCTTTAAGCCCTAGCATCCTACAGTATTGGAAGATGAAAGGTCCCGTGTTACAGCACGTACGTCAAAGGCGCAGCCCTTCCGATACTTGGGGTTTAGGGCCTAGGGTTTAGAGAACATCCAAGGTCAAGGGCTTAGGATTCTTCGTTATCCAGACACATCCCTCATGCCAAGGGTCTAAGCTGGGGAAGAGAGCACCATCATGCTTGCACCTGCTGTTTCACCTCCCAGCCTTGTTTTCCGGGGCCTTCAGAGAGAGTTCGCAGTAATTGATGTGCATCCGTGGCAGCTTCGTTTGCCGGTAAAGCCCGGATGTTGAAGTTCCAGAGAGGTCCAGAAAGTCGACCCAAGTTCACGGCCCGCGGGGGGTCTGGGGAACGCTGAAAGGAAATCTGAGGTGATCTAAGCTTTAAGGTTTCTCCGGTCCCATACCAAGTTTCCCTGCCGCTGTGGGTGGGTCACATGAGTGGGGAACACCCTGCCTCCCCCAACTTTCCTGTTTTGAGATGTGCGTCGTGTCGGGGACTTCCTCAAAAGCCATTCCTTGAAGCACGACGAGGCAGACTTCTACAGCCGGCACACGACCGGTGCCAAACAGTCGGGCGATGCTTCCTTGGGTGCGGAGCCTACGTTTTCAATCGTGCGAGATGCTTATGCAGGGGTAATTCGATTACTATAAAAAGGCCTCGGATATACTATGAAATATACCATCCGAAACATTAAGCCCTCTATCGTGTTGGGGTCATGACCGCCGTCATCGTCGCTGCTGCCGCGTTCATATTTTGGGTGGCCCTGTGGGCATCATGACCATGATGGTTGCAATCGGCGCTGCTGCCCCTTTGATTGGGTATTTGCCAATACCATATGCCATAGTAATACCAGAAAATGCATTGGTGTGGTCATTATAAGTTTCCACATCGTCTTCCCGGGACTGACGATTAGCCCATGGCGTCATCGTTATCACCATCAGGTTCTTGTGTATGGTCTTCGGCAGGAAAAGAACATATTATTACCCCCCTTGGTCATGACACCAAGTACACTACTATTCTTGTGTGTATACTTTAATGCTGTCTTACCTATGAAAACCAGAAGCAATGAATGACAAAATATAAAAAGAATGAATGCTGCTCCTAAACCCTGAACCCCAAAAGCCTATACCCTAAACCCTAAACCCGAAAAAACCCCAAAAGCCTAGGGTATCAGACCTTTTACCGAGGTGCCCAGCTGGCGAACCTGCCCTTGCACCTCGCCGAGCTGCTGAAGGCTCCCTTCGAGGCCCGCATTCTGGGCGCGGAACTTTGGAAAGGACTACGGAGGGTTTAGGGTTTAAGGGCATTGGGTTTAGGGTTGAGGGTTTAAGGGCATTCTGGGCGGAAGAACTTGGAAAGTACTACGGGGGCCTCGTCTGAAGCATCACAGACAAGGCCTTCTCCATTCGATTCGATGATGATGTTTTACATTGACGATATCATGTTGGTGATCATGGATATCATATGATATGAAGTGAGGAGAGGATGGTGTGATGCTTGGGCTTTAGTTCAAAGTCTAAGAGTACCTCGGCCTCAAAGTCGTCTGCAGATGCCTTTTGAAGTCTCTGAGTCTTACAGCTTTTAGAAGGGCGCTACGGAAGGTGTCGCGTTCTTTGGGGTGCTTGTGGCCTAGGTGATATACAGCTGCTTAGAAAACTCAGATGATGAGCAGGATCGCCCCTGCTGGTACTATGGCACTTTCCCGTCTAGTAGTACAGGTGGGACGACGATGCCGAAGACTGATACGGGGCCTTTCCCATTACCATCACCATCTTCAGCATTATTCTGACCACGGGCAGATTTAAGCAGCCACATGGTTGATGCCAAAACGGGACAAGCCAGGACTTCTAAGCCTGAGCAAGGAAGGTCCGAGTTCAGAATTCTGAGGGCCCGGTTAGGACAGATTCAGCTTAGAGAGGCCACGAAGGCCTTGTGCCTTCTGTTTCAGTCAGCTTTTTTACTCTTTTATAGTCTCCTACAGAGTGTGGATTCCGAGACATGTAACTTCTGAAGGCAAGGCACCCCAACCAGACTTGCGATTTCCACCGGTCACGCCCGTCCGTGCTTCAGATCATCTCCTACTTGACGCGGGTCATCATGGCACGAAGGCGGGGAGACTCCAAATCGCAGCCATGCCTTTGCGTTCTAGGTTTCGGATATAAGGAGTTCGTATAAACTCTTCTTTAGGGGTGCTCTGAGATTTCTTAAGGGGCAATATAACCCTTGCTTACCCCTTATATAGTCTCATAAAGCCCCTACAAAAACGCCAAGGGTCCCTTTTCTGGGCCTAGCCGAGGCAGCGCACCGACTCCGGCCTCTTGCAGCCTGGTGCGAAAGTGCCCAGCAGCAGCGAGGAGGGAGCTGGGGGAGAACTGGAGAAATTTTGTGCATGCTTGCGTATGTTCAGAAGTATAGAGGTACTTGTTTGAAATGCTTCTATTTCTACAAAGCCATGTAGGTCAAAAGCATACATATGCATGTAACTAGCATTCTGCAAGCTCAAGCTTTCATGTTCTTTTTGGCGTAGTGGGCTGCCACCACCCTTTAGTATGAAACAAGTTCAATCTGGTCGTGGACTTGAAAGGCATGATCACTCCCATACGGTACTGCCACACGACTAGTTCACCTGCATCCAGCTGCCTACAGACTTGTGGTTGGACGTACGGTAGAAAAGTGCAAGTGAGGCAGAGGAGACCTTGCACAGACGGGGATACAAACCTTGCCACATTGCAGGAGCTGCAAGACATCACAAAACACCTCCAACCCTCCTTGGGATTTCAAACTCGCCAGCGCAGAAAACTGGCTTTGACAAGGGTGAGCACTACCACTATTTGAGTTCAGGGGGGGAGGGTATTGCATCCAGGAGCTGCGGGATTTTGGAGCTGACAAGCTCATCCTGGCCCTGTCCAACGCGCCGGGGGTCCTGGGAAGAGAGCCAGAAGCAGGATTCAGAGTAGAAGTTATATTTGGCTTGCAAGAGCGGCTGTCGTCGTCGGCAAGTAACAGCAGTGATTAATGATTAGGTAGTAGTTGCTGTTGCTGCTGTTGTTGGAGCAGCCGCGGTAGCAGCAGCAACAAGGAAAGAAGTCAGTGGTCTGCTTACCTTGCAAACGTGAATGTCAAACTTCTCTTGGCATGTCTCCTGCTTCCGCCCGCAACCTGGTGCCAAAGACGAGGCCGAAGATCTTTGCCATGCAAGCCACGACCTCCGAGATGGTTTGGCACAACCGGCCTCGTTCAGCAGAGAGCTGTCCAAAATGGGGCCCTTCCAAGAGAGTACCTCGCTCTGAAAATGCGGCCCCTGAAAGGGACAACTGCCTTCGGCCTTGGTGTTTTTCTCACTGAAGACCTTTGCCCGAGCTTCATCACCCGCAGTCCGACTGCTGTACCCCACGGTACTCGGAATGGGATGTGTGCTTGCCATTCAGAATGGGCATCTAGGGTCTAGTGCGGGAGGGTAGCTGGAGGCTCCCTGACTGCACACACCGAAGAGACTGGAATCCCGCCAGGACCAAGTATCTTGGTGCTGAAGATGATGACTGCACCAGTGCGCCGAAGAACAGTCCTGCGCTCAGCTGCACTTTCAGCTCTGAATTGCGCTTAACCATGCGTTAGCACCCCAAGTTGGAAAAATGGGCCATTCAGGTGCCTAAGGTTCACAGCTATCTATCTACCCCAGTACCTTGGGTGCAGGGGCCATTGAGGTGCCCAAAACCAAGACCAAGGCTAGGCAGGACCTGAGAATTCCGTCAGTGCCAGGAAGCGGCCTCGACCCCTGCGCGCCCTGGATGCAGCCTCGCGCTTACTCTGGGCCGGCAAAAGCAGGGAAGTATACCTGGAGGATCATGGGACTTGATAATTACGGTTGTTATTGAGGTAACGCTGAAGTCAGCTGCCCCTCAGGGCCCAAGGAAGGCAAAGAAGCTGAAACTGGTGCAAGCTACTCGCCCACCCCCAACCCTTGCAGGGATACCTTCGTTGCCTTTTTTTTCCGGGGCTACTACTAAAAGATCCAACCCTCCTCGGGGCCAAGGCTACTGCCCTCGAGTGCCTCGCCCCACGCCGAGCTCGTGGTCCGGAACTCAGAGCTCCTCGCGAGGTTTGCTTCAAAGTGCCGGGGCGGATGCCTACGGTGAGGGGTACTGTAGCTTCGTTTAGGGGGTTAGGGGTCCTTAGAGTCATGTCTGCAAGTTTCTGCGACTTTATGGTGGGCTCAGAAGGCATCACGAGTCTTGTCGAAGAGATCTTTGGTGCTGGGTCGAATCCTCAGGTCATCGCGCCACGCCGAGGGAAGTCGCAGCAAGTGCTGTGGCTGGAACCCCTTACAGGCAGGAAGATTGCGAGACTTGCTGCGTAAGCAGTTGCAGAACCTGAACCTGCCGTGTACTACAAAGAGTGGCTTCATAGTGGTAACAGATGAGCCATGTCAGGTGAAGTGCTTCACCAAGAATCAATGCCAGATGCCGACATCACTGCAGCTTGACTCGACTAGCAGAGCTCAAGCAGCAGTCGCACCAGTCGCGGAAGTGTCAGAATGTCGCTGCAGACACTGGAATGTTTGTGGGCTTTAACATGCTGCAATGCATAAGTCCGAGCTTAACCGGGATGTGCGAAGGGTGTCCTTCCTGGCAGCCCCAGGGATGTGTTCTGCCGTTTGGGGTTTGAGCATGTTTGGGTACTCCTGCCGAGGCGGTGACGCCACTGCCCCACAAAGGCGTGATGTAGTGGTTTAGGGTTTAGGGTTTAGGTGTGTGGGTGGGATTGCCGCTTGCAGCAATGCAAAAAGGATGTGTGTGTGTGCTGATGTGTTGCGGTCCTTGTTGCATTTGTCTGGTTGGCAAGTCGACTCGACGGCTGTTCTGCATTAGGGTTTGATTATCGTAGCAATGTATAATGATTACGCCGAAAACTGTGTCGACGCAGGCCGATGTATTTCCCGGGTTGCAAGAAGTTGTCGCGCTAAGATAGATACCTGCAGGCGATACTACCGACAAATTGAAATGGTAGAGATCGCAGCAGGCGAACAGGACTTCGCTCCTAAATCTGATTGGCCCTGCATCCCACACTGAAGCAACCTCGGCTTGGAGGAGAAGACGTCTTGGAGCTAGGGCATCAGGGATGAATCTAAGCACGCAAGCTATGCCACTCGGACCGGGAAGGCAAGACTCTCCGACTTCATCCGCTGATGCTTATCGACAGCCCGCAGCCCAGTCTTGCTCGCAGAACATGGTCCTATGCTCTTTGTGCATGGAGTCCGAGTATGTTCTTTCTCACGCAGAAGGGATATCCCCAGAGACTCCAATATTCCTTAGTTAAGGAACATACCTTAAATCTTATAAAGGTTCTTATTATAATTTAAGGTATATTCCTTAATTAAGGGATATTGGAGTCTCTGGGTCAGAAGGCCCCACCCTGCAGGAAGGTCGCCCCCTGCCCCTCCGAGACTTCTCGTTTGGAGGCTCCGGGGGCCTCCATACCCTGCCGAAGAACGCGCAGGAGCTTCAGGCGTCCTAACCGGCGGATCCCTAGGATAGTCCCTTAAGGTCCCCTATAGTAGTCCCAATAACCCATTCCCTACTAAGAACCAGTCAGTAACCGGCTACAAGAGCTGCGTCAGCTTTGAAGCCAAGTGAGCCTTGCAGAAGCTGAACCCTCTTTAAAACCCTCAAAGCCTTGAGAGCCCTCAACCTGAACCCCTTCGGTAAATTCTAAACCCAAAAGTCTGTCCAGGAATCTGCGGGTAGCCTCTACCATTACGAAGTGGACACCACCAACCAGGCACCCTGGTCGTGCAACGCCTGCATGATCATATTTGCCTCCAGCATGAAATCTGCATCACAATCTACTGGGGTCCTTTGGAACCTCATCAAATATCCGTGCTAGAGCACATGCCTTGCTGCAGCCTCAGTAAATATGAGGAGTCTTACAGTCGCCTGCACATATATGTACTTCCGAACGGAAGTTGCTCCAGCAGCTAACAGTACTTGGACGGGAAGCATACAGCGAGGAGCGCTAGCAAAAAGCAACGCATTACATTACAACCTCCCACGCATGGGAGTGCAGAGCACGAGTCCTGTGTCCTCGTTTCTGTTATTCCCATGTCTACTGTGGTCGGACTCCTTTGTCCTGGGTTCTGGTTGTCGGGCTGCTGTGTCCTCGGTTCCGGTTAGCTGATGTTTGCCATGTTTCTTTGCAGGGTCGGACTCCTATGTCCTGGGCTCTGGCTTGCTGTTATTCTCGATGTCGAGTGCGATCGGATGCCTGTCCTGGGTTTGGTTTGCTGTTGTTTGATGCTGCAGACTCTGCCGTTCTGTAAGACTCCATGCCCAGGCTTCCGTAGCAGTTCTCTGCTGTGCTTTGGCATGTCGATCCCATTTCCTGCTGGTGAACAGGTGATCCAAGGCTTTGCAGTGCCAAATCTCGGCGAAAAGAGGCCCCTTTTCAATTTCAAGCCTTCCATCGGGCTTTGAGGGCCTTGCTGGAATCGCGCATGTTCGTGGAGTTGGCATCAGAGCATAGACACCTCAGGGCTCAGCTGAGCTGTCCAACTTGCCGCCTGAATCCCCAAAACCCGAAACCCAAAGTCCTGAAGCGATGTGGAACGCCGGTAGGCCGGACAAGCTCGTCCCCATCTGGAACATGGAGCATCAGCCTTGGACCGCAAGCGGATCTGAACTTTTTGGGTTTAGGGGTCTTGATGTTTATTAGGGAGGAGGGCCGCGGACGCGGATAGCTTCATAGTTTCTGGTTGAAGATGGATCCTTGCGGCTCAGGCTGGGATCTCTTGGCGAAACAATCCTAACAGCTGTTGATGCCTCAGAGTCCGCCGAGGATCCGCTAGATGCTTTCAGTGGCAAGTCGTTTGGAGTTCACAGCCATGTGCTGCGATTCCATGTCCAAGCCTGCCATGAAATCGGCATCACTTAAAAGAGAATGGTCCATGCGAGGGCTCCAAGAGACAGCTGGGCCCAGGCCACTCCGCAGCACAAGCAGTGGGATCACGTCCCCGTGCACATCAAAGGGGTCCGCCACCGAGTCGCCACTACAGGATCGCCCCAGAACCCACGCGCATTTAAGTCAGAGACTTCAAGAGGATGCCAGCATCCTCTACAAGTACATCAACCCGAACATGCTCTCCGTGGCCTCAGAGGACGCCATGCCGGGCTTTCTTCGTCTAGGCTGGCTTGCTTTGCGACATCTCGGTCCTGTTCCATGGGTTCCGTATCGGGCACTGCACCGGTTAAGACTTCACCGCTTCCTAGTTTCTTAAGACTGCCAGTCGGGTGCTTTTGGCTTGCGGCTCGACACGGGGCACTCTGAAAAGGTGCTGTCGTGGGGTCGGGCATCGCGCCTGCCCTCACTGGTCGAAAATGTGTGAGACCATGTTGACCGGACAGGCGTTGCACATGTTGCTGCTGGGGATTGGGGGGTTTTGGATTGCAGCCGAACTTGAGAAGTGGACGAAGACAGAATGAAAGCGAGGAATTTTGATTGTTGCGACCTCCAGGACAAGCTCGGGCTGAACCTCTACATTTTGGATGCCGTCACGGGCCATCTGATTCATCAGAGCCTGCGTCTCAAAGTGTTTTTCGTACACTGTGCGATTAGTGTTTTCGGCCTCCGAAGCCGAACCCGAAATTTGTGGAAGCCCAAAATCCAGGCCAAGTGGCCGGTGGAGCGTCGCCGGTGCACCTGATTGCCTCGCACTCAAACGTGCCAGGGTGCTGTTTTCGCGTGGTTTATATCTGAACCTACGAACGACTAGGAGCTCGTGTTACGGAGTCTACTACCGCATAGTCTATAGTATTGCAACACTTGGTCCATGGAGGGCTCCCTGTACCACTCCCGGCTTTGCGACTGAGTGCAGTATGCTCACGGGACTCCAAGGCATGCGACAACTGGGTCGCGATGCACTACCGCAATCCCAAGAAGCAGCTTGGCTGTCGAAGCTCAGAGCATCCGAGCATCCAGGAATGTGTGGGGGGGCATCTCCTGGAGTTTCTCACAGTACAGCGGTCGGAATCATTGAGAGCAACCAAAATCTTGTTGCAAGCTTTCTCCGGCTCAAGCCCAATGTCCGAGGACACGATTTGAGATCCTGGTGACCGAGCTTTTCCAGAACAAGGCCGGAAGCAGATATTTGGAAAGGGGCAAGAAATTGAACTAACCTGCCAAGAGAGTTCAAACCTTATGTCCACGCAAACTGCCGGTCGAAGTGGAGCATACAGAGAGACACCAGCAGCAAGATTCAAAGCTCCTCTGTGGTCCTGTTGTGACGAGCGACGCCTTTGGCTGGTAAAGCTTGTGATCCAAAACGCTCTTTCTGCATGTCCTCAAGTACTTTTCATACTGACTAGCCTATGAGATTTGATTGAAATCAGTCCAAAAGAGACTAGTAGTCCCTTTCGTTGCAACCCTCTCAGACAGGATCGCGTTTTCCCCATCTTGGTTTGGGCCCTGGCCTCCTAGCGCTGAGCCTAAGCCCTGCACAGCCAGGCCGACGACGGGCCCTGGGATATCCTTTTCGGAAAGAAGGCCGAACCGTGGACTGCCAAGTCGCTTTTGCGCTCCTTTCTCGAAGATCAAGATGTGGATTGGTGAAATATTAAATGGTTGTCTGGATCTTCACTCAAGTTGAGAAAGAAGGATCTGAGTCTGCGCATGTCTGCACCTTGGGTTTTGTCCACGGGCCCGCAGAAAGCCGTCTGGTCTCAGCGCATCAGAGGTGGCGAAGCAATCAAGACATATTTTTCCATCTCTCTCCCTCTCCCCCTCTCTCTCTGTGTTTCCGTCTCCCTCAGTGTGTACATAAATATATGATGCGAATCTGAAGCTCCGGGCTCTCCCAGTCTACTCAAAAGTGGGAGCCTTTCCCGGCGAGGGCGCGGCGGTGCGAAGCGCCCACCACCTGGAGCGACCTGCCGGGGCCCACGAGAGTGTGCTGCTAATACAAAAAACATATAGGGGGGAGGGGGGCTAAAGACTTCTACCAATACTACTATAGTATAGGTATAGGTATATGATTATACCCTAAATCCCTGTTCTAATTATGAAGGACCCTATGCTAGGAGCCCTTGAACGTGAAAAAAAGGTCTAGGTTTTGGGGTGCGGGATCCGCTTGCTTGTTGAAGTTGCATTCCAGAACAGATGCCTGCTGTTGTGTTTGCGCTTGGACGTGGAAACCAACCGCGAGAGCAAAGAACACTCATAGTTAGCATCAACGAGGCAGTGAAGGAGTCTTTCATAAAGAGGAGTTGTCCAGCACTGAGTGAGGTTCCCCTTCAGCAGACGTACATCATGCCTGCGGGCATCTCGGC